GTTGTCAGAAGGGACCATTCCCTGGAGAAGGATGTCATGCTTGGTAAGGTGGAGGGTAGACGAAAGAGGGGAAGGCCCTCAACGAAATGGGCTGACACAGTGGCAGTAGCAACAGGTTCAAGTATAGCAAGGATTGTGGAGCTGGTGCAGGACTGGGTGGTGTTTCATTCTGCTCAGCATAGGGTTACTGTGAGTCGGAGACAACTCGATGCATCTAACAACAACAACAACAACAACAATAACAACCACCAGAATTGTTAACTGTTATCTTCAAGGCTGTCTGGTCACCAAGCAGGGGAGTAGGTAATGGGGCCAGGTTATGGTAAAATGCCACAAAGCTCTCTTACTGAGATTCAGGTTTTCTTCATTATGTATTCCCTCGGTTGTCGTAAGCTTTTGATTAGTTTCCAGAAGTTTCAAAAAAGTTGATTCTGACAGCTTTTGCCAGTTTATTTGCTGCTTTTATGGAATGACAGATTTTTAGAGCTCTCTACTCTTCCATTTTTGTTGACATCAAGACATCACCTCTCAAAAACTTTTTTATTTTTTGAGATTGGCATTTATTCTTTTTTAAAATAATATTTTATTGTGTTTTAGGTGAAAGTTTGCATGGCAAATTAGGTTCCCCTTCAATAATTTTTATATAAATTGTTCTGTGCCATTGATTATAATTTTACAACATGTCAGCATTCTCATTAGTTCCTTTCTGTTTGCTCTGTTTCCATTGATCTAACTTCCTTGGTCCTTCTTGCCTTCTCATCTTTGTTTCTGGGTAAATATTGATTACTTGGTCTCATAAAATTAATTGCTTAAGGGAGCACGCTGTTGCTAGGTACCATTGAGTTAGCTCTGACTCATAACAACCCTATGTACAACAGAAAGAAACATTGCCCAATCATGCACCATCCTCACAATCCTTGTTACAATAGAACCCACTGGTGCAGTCACTGTGCAAATCCGTCTTGTTGAGTCTTCCCCTTTTTTGCTGACCCTTTACTTTACCAAGAATGATATCCTTCTCCAGGGAATGGTCCCTTCTGACCACATGATCAAAGTTGGTAAGACAAAATATGGGCATTCTCGCTTCCAATGAGCATTCTGGCTATACTTCTTCTAGGACAGATTTGTTTGTTCTTCTGGCAGACCATGGTGTTTTCAGTATTCTTTACCAACACCACGGCTCAAAGGTATCAACTCTTCTTTGGTCTTCTTTATTTATTGTCCAGCTCTCACATACATATGAAGTGACTGAAAATACCATAGCTTGTTAGGCACATTTTAGTCTTCAACGTGACATTTTTGTTCTTCAACACTTTTGAAGCAGATTTGCCCAGTGCAATATGACCTCTGATTTCTAGACCATTGCTATTGCTATCATGAGTGTTGACTGTGGATCCAAGTAATATGAAACCTTTGACAACTTCAATCATTTATTTATTGTGATGTTGCTTATTGGTCTGGTTGTGAGGATTTTTTTTTTTTTTTTATGTTGAGCTGTAATCCATATTGTAAACTGTAGTCTCTGCTCTTTATCAACAAGTGCTTCAAATCATCTTCACTTTCAGCAAGCAAGCCTGTGTCATCTGCATATCCCAGGTTGTTAGTAAGTCTTCCTCCAATCCTGATGCCATGTTCTTCTTGGATTATTTACCCAGCATACAGATTGAATAAGTATAGTGAAAGGATACAACACGATGCACACCCTTCCTGATTTTAAACCATGCCATATCCTCTTGTTCTGTTTGAACAACAGCCTCTTGGTCTATGTACAGGTTCCTCATGAGCACCATTAAGTGCTCTGGAATTCCCATTCTTCACAATGTTATCCATAATTTGTTATGATCTACACAGTCAAATGCCTTTGCATAGTCAATGAAACACAGGTTAACATCTTTGTGGTATGCTTTTCTTTCAGCCAACATCCAACATCAGCAATGATATCCCTTGTTCCATGTCCTCTCCTGAATCCAGCTTGCATTTCTGTAAGTTTCCTCTCAATATACTGCTGCAACCATTTTTAAATTATCTTCAGCAATATTTTACTTGTGTGTGATATTAATGATGTTGTTCAATAATTTCCACATTTCTTTGGAATGGGAACAAATATGGATCTCTTCCAGTCAGTTGGCCAGGTAGCTCTCTTGCAAATTACTTGGTATAAACAAGTAGCTCCAGTGCTATCTGTTTGTTCAAACATTTCAATGGGTATTTCATCAATTCCTGGAGCCTTGATTTTTGCCAATTCTTTCAGTGCAGCTTCAACTTCTTCCTTCAATACCATTGGTTCTTGATCATGTGCCACCTCCTGAAATAGTTGAACATCAACCAATTCTATTTTTGTACAGTGACTCTTGTGTAACCCATCTTCCTTTGATTCTTCTTGCATCATTCAGTATTTGCCCATAGAATCCTTCAATATTGCAACTTGAGGCTTGAATTTTTACTTTAGTTTTTCAGCTTGAGAAATGCCAAGCATGTTCTTCCCTTTTGGTTTTCTAACTCCAGATCTTAGCAAATTTTATGATAATAATTTACTTTGTCTTCTTGAGCTCTCCTTAGAAATCTTCTGTTCAGCTCTTTTATTGTGTCATTTCTTCCATTTGCTTTAGCTGTTCTCCATTCAAGAGGAAGTTTCAGAGTCTCTTCTGATATCCATTTTGGTCCTTTCTGTCTTTTTAATGACCTTTTGCTTTCTATATGTATGATGTTCTTCATGTCATTCCACATCTTGAATGGTTTTCAATCAGAATGGTCAGTAGTGGTAGTTGCCTACCATCTAGTTCTTCTGGTCTCATATGCTACATGAGAGTAGAGACCAATATTTTAGATGGCGGCTTGTAAGCTTTTAAGACCCCAGACATTATTCACTAAATTAGGATGTAGAACTTCATCTTTGTCAGCTACCTTATGTCAATTGAGTAAGTTGTCCCCTGAGATTATGGCCTCAAGCTTTTGACTCAGTAAATCAATCCTCTGAGGTATTTGGGTATGTCTAGGAAGCTTCCATAACTTTGCCTCCTATGTGGTTTGTTGTATACGTAGATATATATGCAGCACAAACAAATGTGTATGTACATATGCCCATAGATACATCTATATATGCATGTGCATTTACATGCATATGCCTTCTGTACACATATATGCATCCTTATCTACCTATGCAACTACACACATATTTTTTGGTTGGTTTTACTGTTGAAATATTACATTTTTTATATAGCACCACTGCAATTTTCCCTTTTTTCTCATATGCTTCTTAGTATCTTTATTTACCTTGGTCAAGTTGTGTTGACTTCACCCATATTTGGCCTACTGACTAACTGATGGAACAGACTGGATAGGTAAGTGAATTTAGCCCTCTAATCCATAGAAGAAGCTGGTCAAGAATACTGTTTCTTCTTCATGGGCTTTTTTTCCAAAGCCTATATAGTGGGTATGCTTTGCTCTCATTTGCCTGGGTGGTGCCAACAGTTTGTGCTTGACTGCTAACCTAAAGGCTGGCTGTTGGAACCTGCCCAGCAGCACCACATAAGAAAGGCCTGGCAATCTGCTTCCATAAAGACTGCAGCCAAAGAAAACCCTATGGAACAGTTCTACTCTGTAACACATGGGGTCGCCATGAGTCAGAATCGAATTAATGGCAATGGATATCATTTGCCCATCATTCGCCACAGCTTTTTTTCCCCATATTCTCTTGATTCATAAGAAGAATCTAGCCACACAGTCAGGGTCTATCATCACTGACTCTAGACACTACTCTGGTCTCAGAGTGGTCTCTTAGTTGGGGGCACTATATTGAGAATCTGAGTCTGTAAAGTCTTCAGGTAGGCCACAAGCTACCTGACACTTCTCCCATTATCACTGGTCTAGCCTGAGGACTGCTGAGCATACTGTAAGGATATCAAATGCCCGACTGCAAGCAGTGAATAGAGAAACTGAGGCAACACAAGGGAAAACAAGGAAAATCAAATCAGTTATCAGTAAGTTTATAGAGATGATGCTATCACAAAGTTATTAGTATTTTATCCATTAAGTTTGTTGAAGCAGAACTAGAAAATTTGCCAGAAACTCCTAAAATGTCACATAAAAACAATCTTGTCCATATATAATATATAGGTCAAGACCCTAAGGTAAAAATAATCAAAAAAATTTTAATCTTACCTGTTATACATGAGGCGCTTAAAATCTTGAAATAAAGTATCTTTATTTTTGTCAATAAAACCAATGACAGAGTATCTAATAGGAAAAAAGAAAACATGCATTATTCCCAAGCAAGAGTCATATTTAATATACATACTATGTAAATGGGGTACAGATTGTCAAGGTGATAGATCTGTATGGTGCTGGACATCCCTTCTTCACTATTCTGTAAGCTAGGAAGACAACCAGAAATCGTGGTTCTTCCAACTTTAATGGCTAGTTTGGCAGATGGAGTGATAATTCTGAGCCATATTATTTTAAGATTCTGAAGTTTAACTTTAAATCAGAACAGCTATTAAAATTTCTTCAAATGTCTTTTAGCATTTATAGTAATGATCATTAGCTTTCTTTGGCTTAAACTCTTCATGTAATAAGTTACATGGATAGAATTTTTTAAGGTAAAAAAGAAGGGAAAAGGAAAAAAGAGAACTTTAAAAAATAAGACAAAGGGTACTCAATGGATGGTCAGAGCATACTAAGGTAGTTGTATTTTTCTGATCAATTTCTAGTTGTAATCAGACAAAATGGGGACTGCAATAATTTTAAGGAGCTCTGGGAACATAGTGACTAAGGCATCTGACTGCTAACGAGAAGGTTGGTGGTTCAAACCCACCAGCCACTCTGTGAAGCAAGATGGCAGTTTACTTTCGTAAAGATTTACTGCCTCGGAAACCCAGTGGGGGTTGCTGTGCGTCAGAATCGACTTGATGGCAATGGGTTTTCTTTTTTTGGTAAGAATTTTAATTTTTCAGATGATAGCATTTGAAAAATAATATGGTAGTACTTTGTTTACACAGTTAATCAACTATTTATAGAGCTTCACATAACATAGTAATTCTCACCTCTAAGTCTCTATGCCGTTGTCTCTTCAGCTTGGAATGCCCTCTGTTCTCCTTCTCATCTTCTCAATTCCTTCCTCTGACTTAACCTCCTTTTTTTTTTTTTAAAGTTTTTTTACAACTCAACTCTGGCATCACTTCCTCCAGCAAGGTTTCTCTAAAGTTCTCACACTGGATTAACTGTCTCTCCTTAGTGTTCCCATAATGCCTTGTGCCTTTCCATTGTTCATTATAAAGACTTATGTTGCATCTGCTTGCATTGTCTACTAAACTGTTGGCTCCTTAAAGAAAATGGTCATCTTATGCATCTTTCTTCTCCAGTTCTTAACATACTTCCATTATTTATTTAGCCACCAATCAATTTTATACTGAGTAGTAACTATGTCAAGAATTGTGCTTGCGCATAGACGTGTGCTCAATAAATGTTTGTAAAACAGAAATGAATGAAGTACACCATTTTTTTAAAAATGAAGAGATTAACACATACTGACATACAAAATGAATGAAAAATGCAAATGAATGGGAAAACAATTTATAGTTGCCCTAGTAATATTTTCTGAAGTGTGGCTGCATGTAAATCATCACGTTATGTACCAAAATAAGATACTCACACTACATCACCTGCATAATGTCGAATTCGAAAATCTCGATCAAACTCCAGCACTTTGTCTGAGGCACAGACCTATGAAACCAAGAGAGAGATTATTTAAAAAACAGATATTTTAGTTTTCCTAAAAATATATTCCAACTTAAAATAAGATGATAATGTCACAAACCACGATATTATTATGAATGTAAACATATGGTATGGGGCTTAGTTTTCATACTTCTGTGGATAAAGACTGTAAGCTTTCACACAAAGTCTATTTCCTCAGGTGATGCCCTCTGTGCCCTTTTCTCCTCCCACTAGTTGGGGCTGAGATGGATAGTCCTTAGGGGATGGAACATGGAAGAAACCTGAGTCTCTGAGAGACAACTTGACTTCTATT